TATAAAAATAAGATATGTATATATAAAATAATTAAGGTCTCCATATGGGTCTAGATTTTGATTGAACAAATGGTGGTTTTCGACGATGATTTACAATCTCATTATTACAATAGATGCATAAATATGGAAAGAAATTTTTTCGTTCATAATTTGTTGTTAATATCATTTGAGGTTCTTGATTACAACGTGCACATACTTGATCATAGCTAGCTGAACTAACGTTTGGTCCTACAAATGGTTTGGTTTCTATTTTTCTTGGTGTTGTTATCGTTGTAGCAGGTCGTACTACTACTGATGAATAATGAGATTGTGCTGATGTGTATGGTTGACCTTCAATCGTATATGTTGTAACTTGATGATGAGGATTATATTGTGGATATGATTGAGATAAATTATTAGAATATTTTGCTGGTAATACTCTATTTGTTTCATGTGTTGAAAACATACGGCGATCAGTGTTACAAATACATGATGTCTCAAACGTCCGTTCCGAAAAGAAACGTGAATAGCTCTTCAGGCGTTTAAAAAATTTACGTATTTGTTTTTGCAATTTGGTCTTCTCTTTACCAAATTTTATTCGAAGACGGGAGTCAGTGTGGATGTTCTGTTCAATAACACACACAGACACACACATCCACACACACTACTAGTGATATGCTCGGAACGGTAGTGGACTTCGTAGTCATACATACTAGGTGCGCTCATGTATCATCGTTCACAACCGGTTATCAGGATGGCAATCTATGACAATGATGAACGGCGTTGGCTTGTGATTAAGTGCAATTTATCGTTCCAATAAGAGATCTCTTTGGGACGAATGTTTACCGCGCTTCGTCAAAGTCAATGAAGTGATAGAAATTTCAACGAGAAACAGAAGCTGTTCATACATACGAGTCTAATTGCTATGCATCGTGGTCAGTGAAGCATGACAATGCGAAATGAATCAATCGAGATATGCATGTGAGAAAGAAAGCGAGTAGATGCCTAATTCGAGTTCGAAAATAAGTCAGATTTGAGAAAATTTGACCGGCAACACTGTAGCCAAAAGTCAAAGTTTCATCTCACTTATGTTTTATAATTCCTAACTTTGTTTATTTTATATCAAAATAGTCAAAAGCCAGTAGTGTCAAAACTGAGAGTTGAATTCAACTATTGAAGAGGCTTTCAATTATGCTGAGATACTACAGGCATCATCTGGGATGCTACAAGCATTACCTTGGTGCCAGAGGCATCATTTATTTTGTTACGAGCATTTTCTGGAATGCTACAGGCATTGTGTTCATAGAGACCAGCATTAGTCGCGGCTCTTCTGGGAGCGCTACGCATCCCACGCTGTAACGCCAAAATAAAAGGTCGGTTGCACGAGCAAAAGCTTTTTTGGATACTTGTACCATGATGCCTGTGGCATACTAAGTATTGCGCGTAACATCCAAGATGAAGCCTGTAGTATCACAGACGATGTTTGCAGCATCCAAGGTGATGCCTGTAGCATCCCAGATGATGATTGTAGGATCTCAGCATAGTTGAAAACCTCTTCAATAGTTGAATTCAACTCTCAGTTTTGACACTACTAGTTTTTGGCTATTTTGATATAAAATAACCAAAGCTGGAAATTATAAAATATAAGTGAAATAAAACTTTAGCTCTGGCTTTTGGCTGTATTCAGTGCTGGTTCAAATTTTTTTATTCATTTTCGAAGTGGCATTATGCTCGAAAAGGTCCATTTATATTCGAAGTCGAATTAGGCAACCCATGAATAAAACACCCATACTCTTTCACGAATACTTCTGAATCTAACTATTGAAACTCCTACGAAACATAGAAACTATACGGCCACTACAAGTACTGAGTTAAAAATTCAGACATATGTAATCTTCTTCTGATGGCATCTATTTTCGATCAGGCAACAGATTTCATAGACTTAGTAACTAATCGATTCAGTAATAAATAAATAAATTATAGTAAAGTGTTCTTATACAGAATGAATCATGTTTGATCCTGACTAGTTTTTCTTTTATGAATTCATTCGGCAATATTGGAATCGATTAGGAATGTGCAGTTTAGGTTTACTGATAACTGACGTCATCGAAGAACGGGACACTGAGCACTGGGTTACACTGTAGTGATGTCACTGTCACTGGGAATAAACCGACACCGAAATCACTGATACACTGTTGTTCACTGAAGCACCGAAATTCACTGATATCCCAGGTCGATCATTCCGGATGTTCGTAACGGCGTCGTAAACGGTATAAAACGGCGCTATTACGGGCCTTAATCCGTCAGCCCGTTTTACGACCACCATTTAGTGCAGTAAGCGATCATCGGCTTTACAAGAAAAGGCCATCGTTTTTCGCCGTATTTTAGCCGTAAAATGGTATGGCGAAAAATGGTCTCCATAAAATATCGTGCAATATGATACAGTATTGCTTCTCGCATTATTTTCGTCATCTCATTTTGCGACTAAAATACGGCGAAAAACGATGGGCGTTTCTTGTAAAAACAATGATCGTTTACTGCACTAAACGGTGGTCTTAAAACGAGCTGACGGATTACGGCCCGTAATAGCGCCGTTTTTCGCCGTTTTATACCGTTTACGGTCGTTTACGACGCCGTTTTCTTTGACCTGGGATATACTGTCGTTCATTGAAGCACCGACGTTTACTGCCCACTGAGCACATTGACACACTGATTCTCCCACAGCATATCATCTTATGCGCTTTTATTTATAATTCTCGATGACAAATACAGAAGTGAGCACATAGACACTGCCTGAAAAGCAGCATAAAGCTCAATTATCTTACTTTCGAATAATTAAGTTAACTTCTCTTAATTATTTTATTGTTAACTCTATTCTTAATTCGTAAATATTGTTTCAAGCTTAGGTCCTTCCTCGTAAATCTTTATTTTTTTTACGGATATTAAATTCGTTTTTTTTCAGAAAGCCTTCGAGTGATATACAAAGCCATAGGTTCAACCAAAATGATGAAACTTGACACTAGTCTCATACCTTCATTTCAGGGTAACGAGAATCTAAAATATGTTCCGGTTTGAATTAAATAAATATGCAAAGGAGATATGTTATATTAGGGATTAAAAGTCCGGAAAAATCTGAACTTAATTCTGTAACAGTGAGAATCAACATTGAGTCTTAATTAATGTCCACAATTTTATTCAGCACTTAATCACAACTCAAATTTTTCATACCAGAGGTTCTCTCAGGTATCGAAAAGCTTCTATGTCGCTGTTCGGGTACAGAGGTGTTGGTGTGATTCCTTTCAACTGATATTCACTTCCACCAACATCCCACTCATATGCTCACTCCTGTATTTTTCGTTAAGAATTATAAACAGAAGTGCACAAGGTAATGTGTTGTGATAGAGTCAGGGTGTCAGTGCTTCATTTAGTACCAATTTCAGTGTAACCAGTAGTCAGTGAATGTCAGTGCTGCAGTGAACGACAGCGTATCAGTGATTTCGGTGTCGGTTTATTCCCAGTAACAGTGACATTACTGTAGTGTAACTCGGTGCTCAGTGTACCGTCCTTCGGTGATGTCAGTGTCGGTATTCACAGTTTTTACACTGGAACCGCACATCCCCAGAATCGATGAGACACATCGTTGACGAACAAAAGTTGGGCGACAATGGAAATTACCATATGCGACTGCTGTGTCATGGTTGTTTGCATGCCGTTGTCGTAGATGCTTGAGCTGTTTGCACTATTGTCAGCAATTCTTTTGAAAGTTTCTTGCAAACCAAGAAAGTTTACATAATTGAATTGCTCTGTACCGTAATCTTCATGTCGATGTAGATGAATGTGTGAGCAGATTTAAGTATGAATCTGGATGTGGGTGTGGCTATTGTGTGAGTAGAGATGTGTCGACGCACTGCAAAAAATCATAAAATTAAAAACCTTGCAGAAGAGTTTGATTAGCCTCATCATCCTATATCAAATTTCATCAATCTCTATAGGAGATATACCATTTTTATAAACCCATCAAGGGGTTATTACACATTTCATTTTCAGAAATTCTTATGCAGCTACAAAGATAATAAATCATTGAAGAGTTTATGAAAATGGTATGTATCCTAAAGGGATTTATGAAATTCGATGTAGGTTTATGAGACTAATCAATTCCTTCTGTGGAGTTTTCATTCTACGCTTTTTTTAACAGTGCATTCGCACTCATATCACTTACACATCCACACCCACATCTATATACCGATAGTCTCTTGGAAAAAAACTGAAAAATAAGAATACCTCGTTGAAGTACTGACTTGGCTTACAGTCAATGAAGCGTCTACTCACTGGGTAGATTTTCACTTCTTTTAAACGGAAAAAAATTCGATTATAATAACATCTGAAAACATTTTCCTCGATAACGAAAGACATTTACTCTTTCACTTAGTAAACAACAAAATTCAATCCCTTCAAGGTTCTGAAATTTTTTTGAAAGATGCTTTCAATACAATGAAAGAAAGCACAAATCGAAATATTTATCTTTCACAGCGCGATTTTTCTTGTTCTTTCAGTTGTCCAAATATTTGCAAAAGAAAAAAACATTTCTATTTCACGCCATTTCATAATTACCAAATGTTTGATTTTGTCTTGATTTCGAAAGAAAGATGAAAACTGTTTTAACAACAAAAAGTATTGAAGTAAGAAAAGAAGTTAATAGCATTTAGTGACAATAGGGATGCACTGATTTCTAAAGTTTCGATTAGAAGATAGAATTATTTTGATGTTATATGTCATCGGTTCCGATCGCCTTTTTCAACTTCAACTTAGTCATTTCATATCGCTCTATCCGAATCTCTTACCGGTCTTCATTAGAAGACCGAAATTTCGGTCCACACAATTTTTGGCCCGAATTTTCGGTCCACGACTGAATTGACCTCATTTTCCTCTAAAATAAAAAGCCTATTTTTTTGTTAGTTAGTTGTTAGATGTTGTAATGCTGAGCAGAACATCATAATACTTAGTGATATGGCGTAGTGCCAAGCAGGACGTCATATTAGGTGTACATGGTGTGTGGGTGTGGATGTGGCTGAGTGTGTATAGGTGTAGTGCGGGTGTGGACGTCTGGATTTAAGTCTTTTCATCAACACTCACACCCACACCCAATCTCAACACTGCGATATCTAGCAACCATTTAAAAAAGAAAATTAGATTTTTTTTAATTTTAGGGATCAACGAAGTCAATTCAATTATGGACCAAAAGTCCTAAAGGAATTTTGGCCCCGTCAAAAAATCATCGAAATTTCGGATCGTATCGAAAATTCTGTGAGCCAAAGTTTCTGTAACCCGCCTTCATCATATACATTAAAAGTATGTCGAAATTAATCGAAAATTTCGAATCTTTCTATTTTCGACGGATTTCGAGATATTTTTAATGTGTACGGTCAAGACTGGAAACAGGTTCGAATAGAGCGGTGTAAATTGACT